CAATAAAAAGCCTGCCTGTATGCATATATTAAATTATTCAATGTTCCACTTAAAACAGAACTTGGTTTTGACCCCAACCCCCCAGGCCTCTGGGACACTTCCAATGTCCCAGAGGACTGCAGCCCAATCATAAAGTGCAGTGTGCTTGGCACATGTGCAGTAGGAAACCAGCAGTGAAGCCAGTTAACCTTAGTCAAAGCTGGTTAACCTTAGTCAAGATGGTGACGCCAGCACCCAATGACCGATTAAAGAATCGGTTCAGGGTTTGGACACTGCTGGATGCAGTGTCCTCCCCCAGCAAGTGCAGTGTCAGTAGGTCACTGTCACTTGATACATTACACACAAAACAGAAGTGTTCGCAGAATCAGGCCTGATCTCTGTTAGCACTTGCCGTTAATTTTTTTTTGTAGAGGTTTAAGCAGTTCCTGACAGCCAGGTGCTTTTTTTTCCCTTGAGTCGTGCTAGGTACCTATAAATTTAGTGGCCAAAATGTCAAAGGAAAGCTACTCTAGTGAAGAGGCCTACAGGATTCTGAGCATGTCAGGTGAGAGCGAAGGGGAAGACTCACTGACAGAATCAGCCTCAGAATACGAGCCTAGTACATCCTGGTCTTATACATACCAGCACTGCAGGATCACTTGGTGACGTAGCGAGTCCACTAAGTGCAATACAAGTTGGTCCCACAGCCACCAAGAATTCACACACAGGCCCATAGAGCCCCTAGTATCCTTCCAGATGTGCTTGCAAATCCCGATTGGCAGCCCACAAATTCTGCAGCACCCGTACTTTCCCCATTCACTGCCCAACCCGGAATTCAGGTGGAAATAGCAAATTTAACTACTCCCCTTGATTTTTTGGAGCTGTTTTTCATGGAAGATCTGTATGCATTGATTGTGGATCAAAGCAATTTATATGCACAACAGTTTATCACCGCCAACCCAAATTCAAACCTTGCCAGACATTGGAAACCCATTACGGTTTCTGAATTTAAAGTTTGGGCCTAACCCTCAACATGGGCATTACTAAAAAATAATTGTGGTTGCATTGGTCTACAGACCCGATTCATCACATGCCCGTGTTCTCTGCTGCCATGGCCAGGCATAGATATGAGAGTATAATGCGTTTTATGCATTTCAATAACAACACACTCTGTCGTCCTCAGTCTGACCCTGAATTTGACCGGTTCCAAAAAATTAGGCCTCTCGTAAATCACCTTAACCAAAAATTTGAAGATGTCTATACTCCCCAGCAAAACATCACCCTGGTAGTTCATTGAGAAGTACAAGCTGACAGGTACTAAGGCTGTTGGTACTTGTAGTGTTCGCATTCATACAACTCTGTGAATTAATGACCTAGGTGGGTGGGGCTCTGCTCAGCCGTGTTTTGTTAAAATAGTGACAGCAAGTTCAGGGAGAAGATCCCTGGCTCCTATCTCAGGGAGGCAGCGAATTGGGCTGCGGCTGCAGGAGTGGGAACATGTTACATGTTCCACCCTAGAAAATGGTGGAACATGTAACATGTTCCCAAAAGTGAACGTATCCTTTAACATTTTACCATTGTCTAAACACAGTGGGCAAGGTAAAAACTGCCAACAAAGCTGTAATGAAAATTGAAATTAGTAGGTCTGGCAGGAAATCGCTTGATGGATGTTTGTCTACAAAGAGGTCAGTGACCCCATCCCCTGCCCACTTTAAGCTCTCTCGATATCCCACACTTTTTTGACCTTGGCCAATCATGAGACTTCAATTCCATAGCTTGAGCAGTCCATAGGAAAGCAAACTACTGTATCACACTTTGATTTGCAGGAGCAGATTGCATATCTTAATTTGATCTTATTAAAACAACATTATAGGCGTCACTGATTTTATAGAGGATATCTTTGAAGCCATATGGTCCGACAATAACAAAAATAAAATCTACACTCAGTTTCCACTTTCTGTAGCTGCTGATCTTAACGGTCCACAACAGATGAGAAATCATGTATCCAGAAAATCACTGTGAAGTTTGCAGACAGACAACACCATGACCTCCTAGGCATTGCTCACAGGTATAGCTCATTAGAACTACCAACCTCAAAATAACATGTGAGGTCAGCATTTGCTTGAATCATGTAACCCCAGAGAGGAGGATCAGTCAGGAACATCCCTACCCTCTGCACATGAAAAACTCAGGCTTGCCAGACTGACAGGTCCAGCTAATGGGATCACATTTGTCCTGGGATGTCACTACACTGTAGCCCAGATACCAGTGGTGTTGTCATTAAAAGAAAAAAATCCATCAAGCCACCTTATTAAAAATACAATAATTAACAAAAAAATCTGCAATAATACATTTGCATAAAAGTAAAAAAAATTGCATAGGAACATTTAATCTACACACTGGGGGGGAGTTGGGACACGGTTTCCAGGTAAAGTCACTGCATACACAAATACCCAAATATCTGACCTGAATTGAATTCTCAGGACCCTGGACAGCAATAGCATGTTCCATGTGTCCATCAAAGAAAAACCATTGACTCTGCAGTCATTTGATTCTTTTCCACAGGAACAATTGAGTACTGACGTGAAACTTTTTTTATTTGCATTAACAAACAATTTTGTGGACAAGCTTTCGGGGTATGTCCCCTTCTTCAAGGTCCGTACTCAATTGTTTCTGTCGCAAGTGCACTAATACGGCTACAATCACCTCAAGCATTCTTTTCCACAGTAATAAGTTTCATCCCATTTAAACTCTTTCACCATGTTTGCCAAACTTAGCCATATTTATTATCATTTTCCTAGCATCTGGACTTTAATGGGATGACAGTAGGATTAAAGCCTTTGGCAAGGTAAAATAAAAAAAAAAACATTTTGTACATCTATGCAATACACTGACTATTCTCAATGTTTTATCCCTTCTGCAAGTACAGAAAAATAACTTAATGAGCCAGAAATATAGTGTGCACCTGCTTTACTCTTTGACATGACAACACAGTAAGGGGAATTTAACAGAACTGGAGCAGATGTGCATGGAATCCAATCAGATTCTATCTTTCATGTTCAAAGCTTAAGGCTAGGTTCACACATATGCGGTGCGGTATATCACATGTGATTCGCAGAGGAACCGCACCGCATTCCTGTGCAAATCACATGCGAATTGTGTGCGGTGTGATTTGAGCCATACATTATGTATGGCTCAAATCACAGCATCTGCACCAAAAAGGTGCAGGACCCTTTTTTTGGTCCACACTAGAATCGGATTGCAGGGGTATTCACATCTATGAGATCCAATTTTGCACATTGCACCGCATTTTGCGGACCAATTTTGGGGTGTTGTTAACTTAACATACACACCCGCAGCGGTTCGCATGAACGGGGTGCAATTCTGATGCGGTGCAGAATTCGCACAGAAAACGCTGTCAGTGTGAACTCAGGCTAAATGAGCAAGCTAAAGATAGAAGCTGATTGGTTGCCATGCAAAGCTACATCAGATACTATCTGCTCCAGTTATGATGAACTGCCCCCAGATTTTGCATCTAAATTCCAAAGCATGTGGTGTCAGCCCTGCCTACTGCATTTCTGATGCATTACAAAAAGCACAGACCTCTCCTCATTACTACAATCCCTCCTTGTGGACTGGTAGACAGCAAAGGAAGCTATCAGCTCCCAAGATTTCAGGCAAAATCAACAAGTGTTTTTTGAACTTTTAAAACTGATATAACAAAAAAATTTCATCAGTAGATTTAGCAGAGCAAAAGAGGCAAACACATTTATTACAGTTTACAAACATTTTACTGCTTTAAAACATTTGCTAACTGCTATTCAAACTGACAAAAAAGAAAAGAAAAACTAACCTTAAACCGTTAAAGTTTTCATATGTACCGTAAGTTAATGTGGGCTTACCTGACCAGTCCACATGTATCGCTACTCCTGTAGGAGCCACAGGAATACTGTCCAGGTTCTCCTCAGTTACTTTGCCCTGCAGCCAGCACATAGGCTCATTCACTTGTTTCTCCAAAAACCAGTCTAGGGGTGTTGTTTTTGTTGTTTTTAATTTTTTGGAGACCTTGGACAGGGATGAAGGAGATTAATGGGATACTCCAAAAAAAAGAACTATGTACACTTGAGGACTTTTTCAAGACTTCAGCGCAAGCTATATCAGAGTCCGTGCTTGAATCAAACAGTGGACCTCAGCTTTAAGATAGCAGTAAAAGTACTGTAGCAGTAGTAACAGTAAATTCTATAGAGCCCTAGAGCAGTGTCCAGGCCAGTGCTCCCTTTGCTAGACCTACAGCTGACTTCCTAGCACACAGTCTCTAAGATCCTTAGGGATGTCTGTACTCAAAAGGCCCAAGAGAAACTGGATGCCTTGTTCCATGAAACCAGACTAGATCTTCAGTAGACACCCCTCAGTTAGCATAGAAGAACCTGGGGCTCAGCATTCAGGCCCTCAGCTGCCTGGGAGGGCAACGTGCCCTCTTCCAAGCTTGGGAAATCCTAGCCAGGAAAGACCCAGAGCACAGTGTGCTCGCTGAATAAACACAGCTACCCAGCAAGCCATCACAGCCAGTCTTTCTGAGATAGGCTAAGGCTGTATCAATAATATTACTGCCATCTGCATAACTCCACACCTATCATCCAGAAACTTCTGCAGTTTCCTGAATACAGAGGAAGCTAGGCAGAGTAGCAGTACCTGAAACACACAGAGCAGACATCATAAAATGATCACAGCTCACCCAGTACAGTGAGCTAACTACAGTATACTTTTACCTAGCAATAATTACAGCTACTCTGCCTACAGAGTGACAATTATATTTACCTATCAAAAAATAAACTAATCCTAGCTATCTAATTCTAGCACCTGCTTAGGAGGCTGCTACACACATACTGTATACCCTCAAATGCACCTGTCCTGCTGGCAAATCCCATTGCCTGTCATCTGATGTCATCTCTTATCCAAGTTTGATCTGTGATAGATTCAAGGGGCACTTTTGTCTGTAAGGGTCGAAACACACTTTTCACACTGCATTAACATTAGTGTAACTGCAGTGTTCATTATGTGCATAAATGCGTTGTGTGGCCAGGGGCGGACTGACCATTTGGAAACTCGGGCACTGCCCGAGGGCCCAGGGTCAGTAGGGGGCCCCATGAGATGCCCCTGGTACCATTTTCATAGGCTTTATTGAGTTTTGGCAAGGACACAGGGGCCCCATGATCCCCTATTGCCCGGGGGCCCCATGAGTTGTCAGTCTGCCCCTGGCTGTGGCCATTCAATTTTACTGCCACCCTAAAACACTAAGGCAAGACAGCTCCAACACACATGCATTGCATCATATTACAATGCACAGTGCCTTGCCAAAAATAGCGTATGTTCTTTTTTTGGATGTTTTGGAACGTTGCTATCTTACTGCAATGTACCTTAAAGCTCAAAAAAGTGCATGTACACGCATTATAGCAATGCACTAGGAAACCAAGGCCTGAATGGGTTCTTAATTTAAATATAGGATAACAATTTTTAACAACAAATATATAAAGAGGGGGATTTACTAAGACTGAATCAGCCAGAATCTGCAGCTTGGAATAGTAGAAAAGAACATGCGCCTAATGTCTAAAAGAATGCACTTTTGATGGTAGATTAGGAGGCTTTTTTGAGAGTAACAACAAATACATCAATACAACACGTTTCGGTAGAAAAAACTCTCCCTTATTCAGGGAGTGAATTACCTGATTACAATGTTCTTTTGGCCCAATCACAGAAAACTATGCCCTCCAATAACACATTCACACAGGCAGGACATTATGCATGAGCTCTTGTCTGATTAACGTCATAACACACTAATTATTGATAAAATACAATGGTTCCTTGATGTATTTGTCGTTACTCTAAAAAAAAGCCTCCTAATCTACCATCAAAAGTGCACTGTTTTGGACACCAGGTGCTCCTTCTTTTCTAATATTCCAAGTATATGTGTGGAAACAACCTCAAGGCCATACCAGAAAGGCAGCAGCCCAAACCCTAAGAGGGTTTACTGCCAATGTCCATCTCTGGTTACAACTGACTGGAGGGACTTCTCCCTACCCACCCACGCAACCACCCGCGCAACCACCCACCCACGCAACCACCCACCCAGGACCAGTGACTGATCCAATCAGTTCAGCGAAGTCTTCAGCACAAACAGAATCTGGAGCTTTGCAGCTAGTCAGCTTCTAGCTTTCATTTTCACTGAACAACAAAGAGCTGCCACTTGTGTCCATTACATATTTAGCCTCTGTCTCCCTCTTGGTAGTGCTGTACAGTGGTTGTACATTACGGTTACCTTTCTCTATCTCATTGTCCATGCAGGTCTGTTACCTTGCTTTGATAGCCTGAAGATAATGCCTAGCAGTGCCTTATGGTCATCAGGACCAAGAAGGGGTCTGCCCAAGCAGTGCTATAACCAACCACACAAGACTTCAGGAGTTTATTAGAATAGTTAATTAAGTCAAGGCATCACAACCTAGAGCTATATCTTTTCATACAGTATACATACAGTATGCCGAAGATAGGAAAAAATATATATCAATTTGGAGTTACAATTTGCATTTGAGTCAATTTAATGTAATTGTGTGTCTTCTTCAACAGTTGAGCTTTGTTCTGAAAAAATGAAAGCTCAGTAAGGCCTTGTGCACATGGATGATGAGAGGCTGCAGCCTAAAATTGCACTAGCATATAATGTTATCATTTTCCCCCACCCAGGGAGCTGCAGGTGCCATGTAGAGTGGGCAACAGAAGTAGGCTGTACGCAGTCAAACACGGGTAAACCCCAATGCTTTTTTGCATCTGGTTTTATAGTCACATGTGCATATGACATATTTCTCAAATGTGTTGGGGGAATACACCCAGGGGTGTATCTACCATGAGGCAAACAAGGCATTTTGCTCGGGCGGCATTTTGCAGCGAGACGGCACTGCCCCCAGGTGAGGGGTGTATCATCCATAGGCCCACTCTGCTCTGAAATATACTGCACCCATGGATGATACTGTCAGGTGCCACAGCTGCTGCAGGGGTCATGTGTCCCCGCATACAATGTCCCCTCTGCTGGCCCCACCCCCTCCTGTGCTGGCTCCCCCCCCCCCCCCCCCCCCCCCCCACGCCAGCCCCATCCCCTCCTGCCCTGTTAGCTCAATCAGAGCCTCTTCCAAACGACTTGCTGTTCCCCTCTGTTGGCTGCTTCGTGATTCTTCTCCAGTGAGTAGTGTGTCCCGGTGCCAAGGTGTCCTGCCCTGAGCCAGGCTCCCCCTCCCCCCACTTCTGACAGCTTTCCTTGGGTGTCTCAGCTGCTGTAGAACTTCTTGGAGAGAGAAGGGTGGGTCTACTGGGTGTTGTAGTGCAGGTCAGTGATTGGCAGCTGAGACAAAAACATCAAGGAACCCCAAATACCCCCTTTTCCCTTCCCTGCCTCTAAACAATAACCCCCTCCTCACCTCTCCACCCTAAACAATAACCCCCTCCCTCACCTCTCCACTCTAAACAATAACCTCCTCCCCACCTCCGCACCCTAAACAATAACCCCCCTCCCCACCTCTCCACTCTAAACAATTAAACAATAACCCCCTCCCTACCTCCGCAGCTTAAACAATAACCCCCTTCCCAACCTCTCCACTTTAAACAATAACCCCCCTCCCTACCTCTCCACTCTAAGCAATAACCCCCTCCACACCCTAAACAATAACCCCCCTCCCCACCTCTCCACTATAAACAATAACCCCCCTCCCTACCTCTGCACCCTAAACAATTAAACAATAACCCCCTCCCTACCTCCGCAGCTTAAACAATAACCCCCTTCCCAACCTCTCCACTCTAAAACAATAACCCCCTGCACACCCTAAACAATAAACCCCCTCCCCACCTCTCCACTATAAACAATAACCCCCTTCCCTACCTCTGCACCCTAAACAATAACCCCCTCCTCACCTCTCCACCCTAATCAATAACCCCCCTCACCTCTCTGCTCTAAACAATAACCATCTCCGCACCCTAAACAAAAACCCCCTCCTCTGAAGAGGTCGAGCTCTAAAAGGGAGAGGTGGAGCCTAAATAGGAAGGAGTGGAGCTTACAGATGAAGGGGAGGGGCTTAAACAGGAAAGGGTGGGACAAATCTAGATAGGGGGGCGCACAATTTTAGTCTTGCCTAGGGTAGCACAAAACCAAAATATACCACTGAATACGTTATGCGCACATGAGGCCCAAGCAGGGGCGGACTGACAACTCATGGGGCCCCCGAGCAATAGGGGATCATGGGGCCCCGGTGTCCTTGCCCAAACTCAAAAAAGCCTATGAAAAAGGTACCAGGGGCATCTCAGGGGGCCCCCTACTGACCCCGGGCCCTCGGGCAGTGCCCGAGTTTCCAAATGGTCAATCCGCCCAAGGCTACATGCACATGGGAGTAGTAAAACACTACCACTACCAGGTCCTTCTGCTTGTTTTGGCATGTAATTATACACATTTATGCATGTTTATGGGTGTGCAGTGTTTAGATGTATATTTGGAAACTCATTCTATTGGCTAGAGTATTCATTTATTCTAGCCACTGGAATTTACAAGCATATGCGTATGTTTGGATGCATATGTGCATAAATGATACCAGGAAGCTCCTTTCTGAATACAGATTTGAGGTATTTTTTATGCCCCTGAATTCTACTTATAAATAAAAATCTAAATGGTGTAATGTCTATGGACACATTTACTGAAATAGCGCAGCTTTCAGAGGTATGAAAAAAATAATAAAAAAGGCCGCTAATAGCGGCCTTTTTCTGCCCACATATATGAGGCCTCAGGCTTTGTTCACACAGGCGCTGAGGCCTGTATACTTTGAATGTGACTGCTATGCGTCCCTAGCTGCCAGGTGCTGCATGCAGGCAGCCCAGTTTTGTCTATGAGGATGCAGGGACTGTTCAGACATATCCGCTTGTCCTAATAAGACTTTCGTACAGGTGAGAGGTCCCATACACAGACAGTGTGCATTCACTTACACAGCGCTTAGGTGCAGATATCAGACACAGATCTATAAATGAAGACGTACATTAGCTCTGTTGTAGAGGTTTCTTTTTTTTATTTCTCCATATTATGACAAATATACTGCATGTCTATTTTTTCCACATTCCCCTCAAGATGCAAGTGTGCGAAACGTTGGGGCGGAGTCCAGGCAGTGATGTTATCGCGCATGACCGCAGTCCAGAGCGGCATGCGCCATTTGAGCTCTATTTATATTCATTCACATGTAAATGTACAATCTTTAATACATTTTTAAAGATTCATGCACTATAGAGATATTTCCTTTTATGTGCTAATGTGATTGCGGCCAATGTCAGTGGATTGGCGTTGCCAGAGGGATGAAAACAAGTGTGTTTGGGCCTCTCTGGTGGGGTCAAACCATCTGGTAAGGAGCCTGTTTGCTCACTGGTAGGGTGGAGGTCCATCAAGGTAGCTGCTAAGAGGCGGTAGTTGATCAGCACCAGGGGCGGACTGACAACTCATGGGGCACCCGGGCAATAGGGGATCATGGGGCCCCTGTGTCCTTGCCCAAACTCAAAAAAGCCTATGAAAAAGGTACCAGGGGCATCTCATGGGGCCCCCTACTGACCCCGGGCCCTCGGGCAGTGCCCGAGTTTCCAAATGGTCAGTCCGCTCCTGATCAGCACTGATATTTGGATGAAATTTTGTAATCTGAAACCTTTGGTTAATCGCACAAGTCACTCCAATGTTAATTGAAGTGGAAGTGGCAGTGAAGGGGTTGCAATAAATCCGCTTTCTTTCACATCTGTGAACTTGTGTTATATATTTTGCACTATATATTATTATTATACAGGATTTATATAGGACCTCTCACCAGCATCATTGATTGCAGATTGTACTACACATTTTATGAAAGCGTGGTAGGCTAGCTTTATACAACTGTTGCTACTTACATTTCACTGCTACATTCTGAAACATTATTATCTCTGAATCATTATAGTTATTATTATTATTATAATACAGGATTTATATAGCGCCAACAGTTTGCTCAGCACTTTACAAAATGAAGGTAGACATTACAGTTACAATACAATTTGGTACAAGAGCTTACAGGATAGAGTTGTGTTTGTTATTATTGCACTTTTTGTGTGTGTGTGTTTTTAATGAAGTAGCTGTGAACAGGTCGGAGGAGACTTGCTTCACTCACAAATGTGTATATATAATTGTGTATATAATTTTATATTTTGTATATGATTCAGCCCTGGTTCACACTGATACGGTGCGGAATTCACAGTGTTTTCTGTGCTAATTCCGCACCGCATCAGAATCGCACTCCGTTCATGTGAACCACTGCGGGTGTGTATGTTAAGTTAACAACACCCCGAAATCGGTCCGAAAAACGTGGTGCGATGTGCAGAATCGGATTGCATAGGTGTGAATACCCATGCGATCCGATTCTAGTGTGGACCAAAAAAAGGGTCCTGAACATTTTTGGCACGGGTGCGGTGCAAATGTATGGCTCCAATTGCACTGCAAACAAATCGCATGTGATTTGCACAGGAATGCGGTGCGGTTCCTGTGTGAATCAGATGCGATATACCGCACCGCCTGTATGTGAACCCAGGCTCAGTGTGTTGAATTTAATCACATATTTGATCAAACATTGGTGGACTTAGTGTATCTATATTATATATGCAGTGCTGTTTGTTCACTAATGTTCTGTAACAAACCTCTGAGGGCTTCACAGAACAGCTGTACTTATACAGAGGTTAAATGACACACAGGTGGACTCTATTTACTAATTATGTGACTTCTGAAGGCAATTGGTTCCATTGGATTTTAGTTAGGGGTATCCGAGTAAAGGGGGCTGAATACAAATGCACGCCACGCTTTTCAGATATATATTTGTAAAACATGTTGAAAATCATTTATCTTCCACTTCACAGTTATGTGTTGGTCTATCACATAAAATCCATTTACATTTTTGGTTGTAACATTATTTATTTCAGGTACTTGTATAGCGCCATCAATTTACGCAGCTCTTTACATATATATATTGTACACTCACATCAGTCCCTAACCCTCAACAGTCTATGGTCCCTAACTTACATTCATACATACTAGGGAAAATTTTTAGACAGGACCCAGTTAACCTAGCAGCAAGTCATTGGAGTGTGGGAGGAAATCCACGCAGGCACAGGGGAGAACATGCAAACTCCAGGCAGAAGATGCTGTGGCTGGGATTCGAACCAATGACTCTAGTACTGCCAGGCGGAAGTGCTAACCATTTAGCCACTGTGCTCTTTGGCTTTTAATGTGCCTGGAAAGTGTTAGATTGAAAAACTTTTTATTTAAAAAAAAAAATAATAATAATAAAATAATAATATGTAAAAAAAACTTTTTTCTATAAAAACTTAGTTAAAAAAAAAAACACAGAAAAAACCAACAAGTTATGGCTGATCTGTGTATATATTACGTATGATAATAGTAATAAAAAACAAACAAGCATAGATGTATATACAAAGAAACATGACAAAATGTGGAAAATTTCAAGGGGTACGAATACTTTTTCAAGACACTGTATATGTATATATATATATATATATATATATATATATACATATATATATATATATATACACACACAACACAGTAGGAGTGTTTTAGTGTTCTCTATCTTTTCTACCATTACACTTACTGAACTCAAATGGCAGATCCCCTGTAGCAATTCAGCATCTTACAACTGCAGGACATTTCAACCAATAAGCTGACTATAGCTGTTTTCCTTTTATTTCCCCTAATTATTAGACAACGTTGACATGAGTGTCAGGGTACAGAAGAAACCACATCTGATCCGATGATGTGAGTTTCTACATGTTACATGCGGTGTCTTCATTTTGGACTTAGGAAGAAATCCTGCGTAAGGTCCTAATGAACAAAATAGGAAAGTCACAAATGAACGTTAAAATGGGCAAACCATTCGTTTCTCTAGCTCTTGCTGATATCTCCTCCTCTTCTTGCACTGACATAGCCCGGCAGGCCTAACGGGACCCAGAACAGATGGCCTGACTGCAACAGTTTGAGAAGGGGGGTAGGCTTTCAGCCATCTGTCAGGGAAGAGGCACAGGTGACTGGGGGCTAGGTTCAGGGCAGTGAAAACTTCAAGCTCAAATGCCAGAAGTTGATTTCATTTTTATATAACATCTCCACACCCTTTAATGACTGTCCGGGCGCTCGTTGCTTATTCTTCCATTTAACGGTTCTTGGATAAGCTTTTAGGCATTTTGACATTGCGATTGCCTCTTTATGACATTTAGACAGATTATTTTGTAAAATATTTCTGTATTTTTCTACTATAAAACTAACTATAAAAATGGGGATCTGTTCATGCTTTAACCCCTTTCTGACCAGAGGCCATTGATGGCTAGACGTGCAGGGCATATTTATCAGTTACCTTGACAACTCATTCGCTACCTTGCCTACCTGAATGGTTTTGACACTGATTTTAAAAAGATAAATAAATAAAGCTTTTTCTTTTGGTTTTGATAACTTACCCACTCAAAAGTGTTTTATTTTGTTTTGTTTTTTATAAGCGAATAAAAAGGTAAAGAAATGTGAAAATAAATGAATTTTCATGCAGAGCTGCACCAACTTTTGCAGTTTTAGTAAATAACCCTGATGCATATTAAATATATTCAGAATTGTCAATAAGTGTTGTGGTATGTTAAAGTGTTGCTAAACCCACAATAGTAAAATCAGTCTGTATATGTAGTAAAGCATGCTTGTTATACTCCTGTGGAACCTAAGGGGTTAATCCTCTGCATTGTATAAAAATAATGTTTGATCCTGTCTTTACTGATCCTCCTCTTCTTCTACTGTCCTCAATCCATCTACTGATAGAACAGAGTCTAAGGGGCAAGGTGCACATGCTCAGTTTGGTGTGTATTGCTAAAGTGTTTTTTTTTTTTTTTCTTGAGAGCGTATGTGATCAGCACAGGGCCAATCAGCACTGTCCAGAGGGTCAGGGGTTATGCAGCCTCACAGGACAATCAGGGAAGAATGAAAACTCCTCCTACAAGCATTAACCAGTGCTCAGCTAGACACTGATAGAAGTCACAAGTCTCCTATGTACTGCTGATGAGAAAAGGTATTTAGCAGTTTATATTTACTAAAATAATTGCATTTCCATGTTCTGTGTACTGTGGGAGACCAGATATAGTGAATGCAGGGTCCTGGGTTTAGTAACACTTTTACGTTTTCATCTGCAAAAGTGATGTGACGGCAGTGGTGCCAATGAACTGTAAACAGTGTATCACACTGAAACTTATTATTGTGAAGTTATTGTAACATCATAGTGGATTTTTGTTTAGACTTATTGGCCACAGAGCACAGTGCAATACATTGGATTTGATTGCACTGCACCACCCTGCGCAACATGCTGTACTTCTTTTTTGCAGTGCACACCACTGTAGTGGCTGCGGTGAACTGTCATGACAGTGAACAAGGTTTGTTGCCTTGTTCATAGCTGGCCATAGATTGGTCAAAATTCACCTGGTTCAGCAAGGATTGGCCAAATTTCATTCTATTTATGGCCAGTCCCATTCAAGAGCAGTCAATCTGCTGGTTGACTGCTCACAAATAAGCTTGCTAGAAAACTTTAGTTCAGTCAGTGCTGTAGCACTGATCAGTGTATTCTTGACATCAGAGGTGTATAGCCGACTCCTCCATTGTCAGAATACAATGACATCGTGGGAGGTTTCCCACATCCACTTCCAATGTGTGGATTGGGAATCTGTTCAGCAGGCTGAGTGAAAAATGGAGCCATGTATGGCCAACTTATGCATTGGGACTGCTTTGACCAAAGTTGCAACAAATCTAGCATGAACGGACCCTGAATATATTTTTGCTTTTTTTTTAGCACATTTTGGCAGTTTAACAGTTACCAGCTGCCTGCTGCTTCTGTAAAAAAACAAACATACTGAATAATGGTGCAAAGGGGGTAAATGCCACTGGGTGTTTAGTGGTAATAAAAGTATTGAATGCTCAAAGGTACTTAAAAGAGTCAAAGGAAAAGTCTGTAAATGTAGCAGCAGTCCCTTAATAGACAGCAGCTCCACCAAGAGACAGGAATGATCTCTGTAAAGCAAGGGAGGACAACAGGGGGGTGCCGTCTAAGTGCAGTGTTAAAAAATACTTTATTCAATGAAAAACAATTGGCAACTCACCTTAAATAAAAACAAGGTGCACTCATCATGAATGCGACATCCATTCATACTGAGAACACCTTCTTTTAATTCAAGGTGCGTTGCCATTTGCTTGTTATTGAATAAAGTATCTTTTAATACTGCACTTAGATGGCACCCTCTGTGCCGGGTGGAACCTTATGTCCTGACGTCATGCCACCGGCTCCATGTTTGGATCGGCGGCTATCTTAGTAAGTCCCGGCTGTTTTATATACATTCTACGTGGATTTGTTTTTCTTGCATATTACTAATAAATACTACACTATATACAAATCTTTCAGGCTCTCATTTTTTCCTTGGAAACTTTATACGATTATGCTTCATTCACTCTAGTTTCTGGTGAGTTCATTGTGGTAGTAGATTGCACTGAAGATTTGCACTTTTGGGAATAGCACAGCCAAGTTTGAAGTGAATTCGACTGGACTGTCCCTATGTTTATCAATTTTTA